AAGTTTATTGTTTTCTGTTTGGTATTAGATATTAATTTTTAAAGATCCATTTTGTTACATCTTGTGATCCGTTTATTTGGCAATCGCCAATGGCAGTCAGCAGGGTTTAAGAACATCAGTTGTTCGACCTGTTAGTCAAATGCGTTTTGTTAAAATATACTTTTTCACTTTTTTGGTCTTTTGGAAAATGTTGTTTGTGCTGTATTTAGACCTCTCTACCAAGAAATTTGTTTTGCATGCACACGTATAAAAATTGCGGTTTTTATCCAACGCAATCATAGGTTTGAACGTCGTTTTCAATTTATATATATATATATATATATATATATATATATATATATATATATATATATATATATATATATATAAATATAAACAAGTCTAAATTGAAAACAACGTTCAAACCTATGATTGCGTTGGATAAAAACCGCAATTTTTATACGTGTGCATGCAAAACAAATTTTTTGGTAGAAGGGTCTAAATACAGCACAAACAGCATTTTCCAAAAGGCTAAAAAAGTGAAAAAGTATATTTTAACATATATATATATATATATATATATATGTTAATTGGACAATAAACTAACGACACAATAAACAAAATGCTTTATATGATCTGTAATCAGTTAAAGGTTTACTAGTATCTATATAAAAATAAGGAGATGTGGTATGATTGCCAATGAGACAACTATCAATCGAAGTTCAAATGAAATGGATGTAAGCAATTAAAGGCAACCGTATGGCATGCAACAATGAGAAAAAAGCCATACTGTATAGTCTACTTTAAAAGGTCCCGACATGAAAAATATGAAACAATTCAATTGAGAAACTAATGGTCTAATTTAAAACAAAACAATTTACGAAAAACAAATATGGCCGACATGAACCAACAACAACCACTAAACAACAAGCTCCTGACTTGGAACAGGCACATAAAGAATGCGCGGGGTTAAAAATGTTTGAAGGCACTAACCCTCCCCTAACCTGGGACAGTGAGTAGTTAAACAATACAACATAAGAACAAACTATAAAAATCAATTGAAAAGGGCTTAATTCATCAGATCGAGACAAAGCACAAAAACATCTAACAAAAACACAGACCGGACGTGGCAGGGTATTTATACATCCCTTAGAACAAAAAAAGACACAAAGTACAGATCTGACAGCTAGTTCAAAGCCAATAACAACTAATAAAAAAATCATCCATCAAAGACTAACATTTCAATCAGTACGCATCCAAGTTCTATTGAATTTAGTGTAAAGACGTCATTGCAGTCAGTCAGGGGCTTCGGTGGCTGAGTGGCCTTAGTAGTTCAACTACTGATATCACTAGCCAGTCAACACTGAGGTTGTGAGTTCAAACCCTGCTCGTGCTTGTTCACTCAACTCCGATCTTAATTGACTAGGATTGACAGTTTTCTTACCGAAGGTCGTTGGTTTTCTCCAGGGACTCCGGCCCTCTCCACCAATAAAAACTGACCGCTATGAAATAGAACAATAGTGTTGAAAGTGGCGTTAAACACCAATCAATCAATCAATCAATCAAGCATTGCAATCAGATATAAATACGACCTTGTGCAATGTCAAAATATAGGTATCGACAGATTCTAGTATGGTGAATGTGCATATGTGTATAACAATAATATTTAGAATGGTTTTAATTTACTGATAACAAAATCAATATGTATACCAATGAAAATAATATTAAAATTTTTAGAATAAGTTTATTTAAAGGATTGATTATCAGATAGAAAAGGCTTGAATTATAAGAGAGGTACTAACAAAAAAAAACACTAACAGAAAGACAAAACTTATAATAAATACTAGGCTTATGATTGGGACGCCAGACGTGCATTTCGTCTAGCTAAGACTCATCAGTGGCGCTCGAATCAAAAGAGTTGCAAAGCCAAATTGAATATGGCGAAGTTGAATAGCATTGATAACCGAAATTATACGTTCAAAGGACTTTTAGTCTGTTAAGCTAACACTGATAAGAAGATCAGTGACGGATCCAGGGGGGGGGGGGGGGGTTCCGGGGGTTGGAACCCCCCTTTTTTTGACGATCAATGCATTTGAATGGGGACATATAGTTGGAACCCCCCTTTTAAAATGGCTGGATCCGCCCCTTAAGATGATAATAAAAAAAGAACAATCCTTATTATAATAATTTGTTTTACTTGATTACCAATATTATCGTCTTGCCTGTTGTAAAGCGTTTTATTTATATTTTTTTTATCTTAGTAAAATATTGCCCTTTTGTACTTTTACTGATGTGGCTGTGGGTGCCAATTTCTGTTGTATCCAAATTTATATACCCAACTGTCCCAGGTAAGGGGAAGGTTGAGCGCCCACAAACATGTTATATGTTAACTTTGTATACATTGTGACTTGAATGGAGAGATGTCTCATTGGCACTCATACCACATCTTCTAATTTATATTAACCCCGCTACATTCTTTATGTGCCTGTCCCAAGTCAGGAGCCTGTAGTTCAGTGGTTGCCGTTGGTTCATGTCTGTTATATTTGTTTTTCGTAAATTGTTGTCTGCTCTTTGGTCGGGTTGTTGTCTTTTTGACATATTCCCCATTTCCATTCTTAATTTTATTGTTATAAATTAGGCCGTTAGTTTTCTCAATTGAATTGTTTCAGATTTTTCAAGTCGGTGCCTTTTATAGCCGACTTTACGGTATGGGTTTTTCTCATTGTTGAAGGCCGTACGGTTGCCTAAAATTGCTTACATCCACTTCATTTGAACTTGGATGGATAGTTGTTTCATAAGCAATCATACAACATCTCCTTATTTTTTATATTCATAAGTGATGACTTTAACTGAGCTTCCTGTTTTGAATCTAATTATCCTTGAGGTGAAAATCAAATATCCTTCTGCACAGTTTCTTCTATTCTCGAGTTCCAATGGTGGATTATAGAACTTTCTGCTCATTTCTTATTTGTTAATAGAATAATTTCTTCATAGTCTATAAATCTACCCAATCCCCCAAACCCCACAACCCCTAAATGAATTGTTTTATTTGTTTTAAAGAATGTTGTAACCTAATATTAAATATGGAAAGATTAAGAGCAAAAGTAGTTAAATATCAAATTTTATAAATATTATCTTGGTGTATAAAAATGTACAACTATTGGCGTTTTATATGAACTGGGAAGATTCCCTCTTTATATTGATATTGTCATAGATATTGTCATCCACGTGTGTATATGTTGGCACCGCCTTGAAAACTATCTAACAAAGCTTTTGTCATCAGCTTTTTCAATGAATATTAAATAGGTCTGGTTGTAACATCCAACTCCTGGTCGTATACTATTATTAAATTCTTCAGCAAGAAATTGAATCTTCTTCACTTGCAAAAAGATAAATAGTAGAAACACATTGATGAGGTCGTTATAGAAAAACCTCGGATTATGTTTTCGGTTAAGCATTGGGAAATTAAGCATAAGAGAATCCATGTCCACCGTGGGGAGCCTGGGATATAATACTAAGTTGTCCCAGGGTTAGCACAGTGAATTAAAGACACACACATATTAATTTCAAATTTGAATTCGAAAGATCTGTTCATATAAAAAAAATAATAAAAACAATAATTATTTCATTTTGTAGTCTTACAGTGATAGAGGACGTTATTTATGGGAGAAAAGTTGACAGTGAAGAAACATTGGTTATATTACAGTCGTCAAGATAGAATTTGCCAGGCTTGCTCACTTAACACGAAGCTCATTTATTACTTATATGCCCTCTTTATAAGAGGGCCTGGGTTGTGGTCGATCATTTATGCATTCTATAATTTTATAGGACATTTTCTCTATTCTTTATATATTTTCCCCATCAATCTCTATTCCATATCCAACTATCGCGGTCATCACGTGACTTTTACAATTCAGTTGTATATCATTAATGGCCGATTGATTATCAATGAAAATGAACGGGCTACATAGATTAAACGATCATAACTTTTTTGTTACATTGTGTATTTTACCTTCCAACCCCGCGTTTTATAGTATTTTCATTTTTACAATTAAAAATGTTTTAAGTTTCAGTTCGGAAATATTATTTCTTGCTTCAAATTAAGTTTGAAAATGGAGGTGACATAACCACACAGCCTCCGTTGACTTCTTCGTTAAAACTCAATAAAATTGCAATGGGACCATCTTATATGATCAATTTTCTCAACTTATTATTTGTTTATAATATCCTTCCAACCCCAAAAAAGATCAACAACACATTTTTTTTACTTATATGCCCTCTTTATAAGAGGGCCTGGGTTGTGGTCGATCATTTATGCATTCTATAATTTTATAGGACATGTTCTCTATTCTTTATATATTTTCCCCATCAATCTCTATTCAGTTTATATATTGTCCCCATCAATCTCTATTTTTTTTTGCTCTATTTTTGTCTGTTCCAAGTTTATTTTTGGCATATTTTTCAACTGTATTAGCTCATGATTCCCTATTCTGTAAACCCCATTCGGACCCTCATATAATAATAACTAGAGTAAAATATCTTAACATGTTTTAAGTTTCTGTACTTAAAACCATTACATAAAGATGATCTATTTATCTTGATAATGTCGAATGAGGATATTCATGATATTCTTGATATAATTCACATATGAATTCTGTGATTATATGAATTCTTTATTCAAAACAAAAAGAACAAAATATCTAAGAACTGATATTCCACCTTGCCAAAATAGATAGATAGATGGTACTGATCTCAGGATGAAACTCTGAATATATGATGTTGACGTAGAGTTATCCCTCTTTGTACATTCTGATATGGACTGACTCTCCCTGGCCTTTTTCAGTGATTGAAAATAGCTGTTTGGTATATTATATGTGTTGATATATCATTATTTCATTGTTTCGTCTGTATATTTTTTATTGATATGCTTTTAATGAGTCATATGATTAGGAAAATGAATAATTATTTTAAGTATAATTCGGGTTCGGATTTATCTGTCTTGTTTTTAGACCTTCCGGAAAATTCGAAACAAGAAAGATAACTCAGTTGTTGACAAAACTGCGAACTCATTTCAAACCAAGACTTATCTTGTTCTAGTCTTCATACCTTCTGAAATGTCAGTAAGAACAATTACAGAGGACTCTCAATTTCAGACAGAGTTAACAAATGCTGGAACCAAATTAGTTGTTGTGGACTTCTATGCCACCTGGTTAGTTTTCAACCCAAAACAAGGGCTCCATAAAACTGTAAAAGATTATAATGAATTTTTAATGGTTGCGAAAAGTGACACCAAACCATGCAAGATTGGTGTATATTTATAGTGTATAAGATATTTTCAAAAGATAGTGGGCTAAAAATGATGGAATATTTCCCTACATGCCCCTCTTAGTCTTGTAGGTATAGATTTTTTTAGGTTTGAAATATGTGCCAGTCGACTCACAGGATCTTGTATCATAGATCTAATTATTTTGTAGAGGGTTCATGATATAGTGGTAAAGACCAATGGCTACAGCACTGAAGGTCCTGGGTTCGATTTAGACTTGAGACACTGGAAATTTCAGTACATTAGAAGGGTAAATTATTTTCACCATCCCACACAAATCTCTGCCTCTGGAGACTAGACCATAGTTTAAACTAAAATGGGTACTTTTGGAGCCTTTGTTGGTTAAAATGTACCCTGACTTTGACCAGGTGATCAATCTTCAGATATCTATTAGGTTTGTCTGTCCCGCTGAGTTGCCCTGTGGTTCTCTCTGAGTACTTAAGCTTACTTCACAGACTTCCCGGTGTCCTAACACTCCTTTGGTGTTGGGTTGGGGAATTGTCCTTGATGGTGGGTTGTCATTAGTTAGTGATGCATCTCCATTAAAACTGTTAGAGAGTGAACAGGGCTACCACTCAGAGCTCCAGATAAGCTGCGTATTTGCGTGATCACGCAATAAAAATAATTAAAAACCCAATGCAATTGCCCATTGCAGGGTTCAATAACCCAATTAATTCAAAGGAAAACCCAATTATATGCCAAAAACATGGGTTCTTAACGCTTTTATTCGCTATCGTTTGCGTTATTTACCCTTACTTGATAACAGTCGTCGCGTAAATCTATTTTTATAATATTTATATTTGGAAATGTCCTTTCGTTCTAAAAATAGAGCCCTGCACCAAGTGGCTGTAATGGGTCCCTGTTGGAATTTTCCGTTGCTCAAAAGGTACACGTGTTTATGAAAACATTTCGATCTTCTCGGCGTTTATGCATTTGGCATGTGACATGCTGTCATATTTTTTCGAATTGCTCGTGATTTATCATAACATACAATGAATTAAAACAAAAGTAAATGTCCGGTAAAAATATTGAATAGAAGCATGTTTTCGGCTTCTTTTTGATAGCTGAGGGAAAGTTATGATGATAACAAGACTCAGCTAGTGATTTTAGGAAGTGGCCATTGAACGCACGGGCGTGTTTGCGTACCATAACGGGAACATTGCTAGAGCGATAAACACGGGGTTCCGTCAAAAACGAAATCAGTTGGAAAAAGTGAAAGGCCAAATCAATTATGACATGATATGTAGTTTGAAAGCATCGGAAACCAAAAGTTCTGATAAGGGCCAATTTAACCCAGATTTATGTAAATTGAATTAAACGAAAACAGTTTATATTTTATTTTTTTCATTTTAGTTGATGAGTGAATACACATTTCCGTTTTTTACGTCAATGCAGCTTGACACTTTCTTTGTTTTGGTCTAATTGTTCTAGATGCTTAAGATAGTTGTCTTATTGGCAAGTGCAGTATAACATTGTCATTTATTTACTTGATGTTGCAGAATTATTTGTAAATTTAAGTTGAATGTGGTTTCCGTCATTATAAACCACCCTATAAACCTCAAGGTTTTGGGGTATATCTTAAATCTGGAAACTACTTTTTATTTTTATTAAAAAGTAGATCTGGCAAATAGGTGAAAGGATTGGCAAAACTTTCTTACAGCACCTAAATTTCACATATATTACCCAAAAATCTAAACACTTAGCCACACCTACCCCAACTACATGTATAATTAAACTGTAGGGTGATCATATGGGATCTAGAAAGGCAATTAGTTCCTGTCCAACTAGTGACACCAGCTGCAGTTTACATAAGTCTTGAGAAAATACAAAACTGACAGAACGTTTAAAACGGGACACAAATTAAATGTACAATTGCTCCTCAGTGAATAAACCAAATAAAACAGCTAGCACATATTCTACAAAGAAAGAAACACATTTAAGATGGAAACACATCTGGGGTTGATATAATGTGATTATAACATGCCTAAATATTCAATATTGTGTTGATGAAAAAACCCAATACATTAAGCATTGTTAAGGAGCTTGGTGGTGAAAAATCCAATTTGATATTTGCTTGAGGGGTGAATTAATTGGAATTGATAATGCAATTAAAAAACTTTATCACCCAATTACATAAAAAAATGGTGGGTAAAAACCCCAATTTGTGAATTCTTATCTGGAGCTCTGACCACTGTACCCTTGCAGCTTTCGAGTGGAGCTCTGAGAAGCAGAGATATCTACCAGTACATACATACATCTCCGACCTTAAAACATTTATGATACTATTAAACTTTGCTATGAAGATGTCATAGAAAAATCTATGAAAACTAATTTTCAGGATTGTACAGTGCATACATGTATCTGATGATATAAACATGAGTATTATATATTGGTCATGAAAATTTGTTATATGTTCATGATGTTTATGCACAATGCAAGGATATGCCTTTTTTACACTCTCTCTGTTGTTGTATTGCCAAAATGTATAAGATAATACCTATCCCTTTTGTCATTTAATTAACATTATATATCTATTCAAAACACATGTCTTTCTAAGCATGGGAAGTGTAAGTCTTGAACTTCTTCAAAATAAATTATTGTTTTTCCAATGTTACATGTAACACTAAATATGCTAAACTTTAACAGTTTCTTAAATTCTTATGTCTTGTGTATTGAATGAGAATATAATAATGATGAATTATTGTATTTAAAGCTTAAAGCAAAACAAAGGTATGTACATTAATTTATTCTAGAAAAAAAATTTATCATAAGCATGGGAAGTGTAGGATAAAAATTCTGAAAGGGTTTGCCAAAAACATCTAAGGTAATCTATTCTGATCAAAGCATTTTAAAGGTAATTTGTTAGTCTGCCAGGAGTGGATCATGATCATGAACTGACATGTAAATGTGAACACATTTTTTTCATTTCAAACCATTTCTTATATCAAAGTACATGTATTTTAATTTCCAGGTGTGGCCCATGCCAGAGGATAGCTCCAATTTATGTAGAACTGAGTACAAAATATCCTACAGTGGTGTTTCTTAAGGTGGATGTAGACCAATGTCAGGTATGGTAGATGTAGCATAATACAAGAGCCATCATGTTTAGTTTATAATGTACAAATGTATAAAAGGATGTATATAAGTTCGGTAGTGGACATATTTTGCCCTGAATACATAAGTCCATTGTTTCAAGATAAGCATTTGAAGTTGTTAAGTAGACCTGTAAGAAAGTGAAATATCAATTATATGAAAAATTGCGTTGTAAGTGCTTTCAAGTTACATTGCTCGAAGATATTTATAAAAAGGTTTAAAGAATGAACACAAAATTTTTATACTAATTGCTCTAGGACAATTAAAATACATGCAATGCAAGGGACATTGAAACTCTGTTCTTTTATTTCCATTATATTTGTGTGTCCTCACTTTTAATATACTTCTACAGGAGACAGGGGCCAGAGAAGGGATATCTGCTATGCCAACATTTATCTTCTATAAAAACAAAACAAAAATAGATACAATGAGAGGTGCTGACCCTAATGCACTAGAAGAAAAAATAAAACAATGGAAAGGTGGAGATTCTGAGGGGCAAGAAGATGATGTAACAGTGAAGGGACATGTAAGTTGAAAAGAGGGTCTGGATGGGGTTTACTAAATAGAGAGTAATAGGCTCTAAAAATAAACAATAGAGAAATATGGACCAAAAAATTATAGATTATAGTAAAAAATGTGGTGCTAAAATATAAAGAAAAGAGAAAAATGGCAAAGAGTTAAAAGAGTTTCAGAAATGTATACATTCCCTGGCATCAGACCCAGGGCTTCCAAAATTATTTTAAGCCAGCCGGACATTTTATATGTTATCCCGATTTTAATCCCTTAAGACTAAATAAACAAAAGGCAATTATGGTAATCAGTTGCCGAGTTGGCCGTCCCCATGATTGATATTTAAAAAAATCGATATTAAACTTTATTTGATTCAAATTCTAAGTTCTGACGTTATACAAATGTCAGGAATATATGACCGTCCATTACTTTGTCAAACCTTTCATGGAATTATATGAAACTTGGAAAGAACATCTTCTTATAAATCAAGAAATAGCATCTGAAAAAAAAAGTTCCAACTTTATCTTTTTTTCGTATTTTACTGATACATGGTCATAGTTTTTTTTTATACTTTTACATTGACAACAGAAATAGCAGGCAAGACACAGGTTTTTACAATTTTTTTATGGTTTAGGTACTGACCTTAAAGAAGAAAAGTTACTAAAATAGAGGTGTTAGTTGTAAAAATCATGTTTTTATCTTCTGGCAAAGTCTCTAAATTACTAAAGTTTAAAGTTTTAATTGTGTTTTTCTTTTTTGTTTTAGTTAGATATTGGATCATTTATCAGTTCCAAGGGCTGTGAGTGTTTAAATGAATCAGATGAACACACATTGGAACATGCATTGTCAACCAAGGGAGGCTACTTGGAATCAGACTGTGATGAGCAGGTCAGTCAGATTTATATTTTGTTGCTATGACAATATTGACCAGTGTCTGATGAAAGTTTTGAAGGTTTTTTTTTACCGCTTTACTTTTTTTTTGCTTTTATTCAGGGAATGCTGGTACATTTGTAGTTGACGACAATATAAAAATAAGATGATGTTGTATGATTGCCAATGAAAAAAAAACACCTTTTTTTGTTGGTCAAATTTTTTGGGTACAGGAAAGAGTGTAAGATTTTTACTGAAGTACATTGAATCCTGGAATTTTTCCCTTCAGTTACAAAGAAGCCTTATGCCTCTTACAGTAGGAAAAAAAGATTCTACAGATTTATAAACTTATACAGATTTTTCTATAAAAAGTGGAGGTTTTGTTTGTGTTATTTATGCGTTTACCCCTTATAATGTCCAAAAGGCATTTTCGCTATTGAAGGAAACAAAACTTTGGTCAGATTTTCAAAACCATACTTTTGAACAATCTGAAATTTTTCAATTAATTTTACATTTTTGACTAGTAATTGCCATGACAGTCCTTTTTCTGAGGATGAAAACATTATTTGAAACAACTTTTTGCAGAATAATGACATTTCAATGTTGTACTTACTAGAATGTATTATTTTATTTTTCAGTTAATTATAAATCTGGAATTCTCACAGAATATGAAACTTCACTCATTGAAGCTTTATGCCCCTGAAGGTTAGTATGTTACCACAGGTTTCTACCACTTCAATCTTATTTGGCTTCTCTCAATTCAGAAAAATTTTTGCAATGTTTTTAATTGTTGTGGAGAAACTGCTTTATGGAGTAATCTGTGATATTGCTGATGTTAACCTTTTATATACATTTTGTCCCTACTCTTAAGAGTTGAGACATATTACAATCACAGTATCCATCTGAATTATATTTTCATCACATTTTCTCAGAAATTACAGAATATAATGACTTCATATTTGGTCAACATCTTGGCAGTCATGAGTTGTAATAACCTATGAGCCCTTTTCAGATATGTCAGATACTTACTTCCTATTTTGTAATACTTTGAATTTTCAATAACTTGTATGAACTAAATAGTCTATGTCTCAAAACAAAATTTCTTCTACAGGACAGAAAGACTTCATATTTGGTTAGCAACTCAACAAATTTCAAGTGCATCCATTCTAGTTTCTTTTGGGAAATTTGTAGACAAACCTTGATTTCACAACCTTGCAGTCTTTACTCAGTCATTATTCATTTAATACACTAGCCAAACATTTCAAGGAAATCTCTTTGTTATCTCTTTAATATAAGAACTCAGCCTCTTTTTTTTTAACCATTGTGCATTTTTAATTTTATGATTTGATTTTCAGATAAAGGACCAAAGACAGTAAAAATATTTCAAAATTTAACAAAATCGTTAGACTTTGATACTGCAGAGAATATGATTGCAACACAAGAATTAGAGTAAGTAATGAAATTAATTACATAAGTAAATAACCTTAAGATTATAACTTGATGTATATACACTGCAGCTACATGCAAAACCCTCTTGTGGCTGACTTTATAGTTTTCCAAATTTTATAGCCACTTTTGAGATAAACAAAACAAAGAACATTAAGCACAACATTATATTCATCCATCCAATCAATTCAAGAAATTTATCAATCACAAATTCAAATTCGAAAATGGTGTGTATGTTTATGACTATACTTCTCAAGAAAATACCATACATTGTGTGCATGGTGCATAAATCTAGTATCAATTATGTCATTGTTAAAGTAATGTTTAAAATTGGAGTTATCTTCCTTTAACCATAATTGTAGTTGAACCTGCCAATGCAATGTTTGATTTTCAGTTCCAATGGCAAAATGAATGCAAATTTTACCCTTCAGAGCTCATAAGCACTTTGATTCAAATTGGGGAAAAATATGAAAATATTGTGAAAAAGACAAAAAAAATACCTTCTACAAAAGACAAATTGGCAGTGCCTAACATTTTTTTCATCTACATTCTTTGTATGTAAAATTTGATCATTGATTAATTTTTTTTCTTTCTTTCTTTGCAGTCTAACACCAGCTGATGTTAAAGAAGGGACACTTATACCACTTCGATATGTTAAATTCCAAAATGTTGGAAGTGTAACGGTAAAATTGTATATCCATTTGTTTAAGTGTCAAATTCATTATAGGTAGAAACTGGTAGCACTAAAACTGATCAGCAATACAAACTTTAAAAAAATGCTAACTTTTTATACACCCTTTTACGGGAAGTATTATGGTATTGTTGACTGTCTGTCCGTCCATCTGTCCATTCGTCTGTCCGTCCGTCAGTCGTCAACATGTCAGACATTAACTCAAAAACACTTTAACCAATATGCATGACACTTCGGTGAATTGTTTATATCTATTGACGTGAGCTCCCTTTCGTTTTTTATAAATTTCAGATTTACTGTTTCTGAGTTTTGGGGTTTTATTCATTTAAAAAGGTGGGATTTTCCAGTTTTCCTACAATAACTCAAGAATGCTTTCACCAACCTGCAAGAAATTTTGGTGAATTGTTTATATCTATTGACATGAGGTCCGTTTCAATTTCTATAAATTTTAGATTTTACGTTTCCGAGTTACAGGGTTTTATTCATAAAAAAAGGGTGATTTTCCAGTTTTTGGACAATAACTAAAAAATGCTTTCAGCAGTTCTCATGAAACTTTGGTGAATTGTTTATATTTGTTGATGTAAGCTCCCTTTCGAATTTTATAAATTTTAGATTTTACATTTCTGAGTTATGGGGTTTTATTCATTAAAAAAGGGGGGATTTTCCAGTTTTTGGACAATAACTCAAAAATGCTTTCAGCAGTTCTCATGAAACTTTGGTGAATTATTTGTAGCTATTGATATAATCTGCCTATTGATTTTCATAAAGTTCAAATATGACATTGAGAAGAAATTGAACTTTATTTGTTTATAGTCTGACAACAGATTTACTAAGTATTGAGCAACAGCACAGTGTATTGCACAACAGCAAGAAATCTTTAATTGAATATAAATTCAATTAATATAACCAATTTCAAGTTCTTTGACTACATTTATTCAGAAACCTATAATATGTCAAATATTTAATTACAATCCAAATTCAGACCTGTATCAAGCTTGAATATTGTGTCCATTTTTACTCCAACTGTTCAGGGTTGGACCTCTGCGGGCGTATCCAGCTGCGCTCAGCGAAGCAGTTTATTGTCATAAAATTAACATTTAAATTCTTGGTTTATGTAAAAATAAAGATGTGGTACAATTGCCAATGACACAACTCTCCATCAGAGACCAAATGACATAGAAGTAAACAGTAAAAGGTCACCATAGGGCCTTCAGCAATGAGCAAAATCCATACTGCATAGCAAGCTATAAAAGGCCCTGAAATAATAATAATAATAATAATAAATTCTTTATTTAAAGAGGGTAAACTCAGTTAGTTACAATAAACTAATCTTCCCTGAGGCCCTCACATACAACTTACAATACAATCAAAAACAGATATTTACACATAGTTAATTTACAGTCAATTAGTTCAACGTAATATTACTAACATGATAAGATATAAGGCTGTTCAAGATACTATGTAGTCAAAAAATCAAATAAAAATAAAAATAAAAGAATATACAAATCCATTGTAGAAAACATAATCTTATCAGGACTGTGTTAAGTACTTCTTGATACTTTGTTTAAAAGTATAAGTGTTTTGAGCTTTACGCATTTTGTGTGGTAGTCCATTCCATAACACTGATCCAGAATAAACAGATTTCTTAAATAGCTCAGCTTTTGGCTTAGGAACTATCATATTACCTTGAGTGACACCTCTCAAGGAGTAAGGATTATTATCTGATTTCAGTTTAAACTTTTGAACTAGGTACATTGGAGCTTCCATACGCCAAAAGACAAATGTAAAACAATTCAACATGAAAAACAACTGCCTGATTTATGTACAAAACAATAAACGAAAAAAACAAATATGATATACAGCAAAAAATGACAACCACCAAATTACAGGCTCCTATACCCATGAAATTGGTACTTCCCAAATAATAACGAATCCACTGTATATCTAAAAAAGTAAGTCATGAAGTTGACATGCATAAACTAGTATACATTAGATGATTTGTTATTTTTCAGATATTTATAAAGGATAACTTAGGAGGAGGCGATATAACACAGATAGATTATCTAGGACTTGTAGGAACTCCTGTGGCTAAAACAAACATGACAGATTTTAAACGGGTAATTATAAAATAGATGTTAATGATGTTATTTGTATGCAGCATTTCCTGAAACATCCATAATCAAACTCATATTTATGCCCCCACCGTAGCAGAGGGGGCATTAAGTTTTACCCTTGTCCATCTGTAAATTTGTTTCTGTTCTCTAACTTAAGTTTGCCTCAACCAAATGTTATGAAACTTACACACAATGCTTATTACCACAAAATACAGATCAAGTCTGAATTTTGGTAGCGTCACTCTCACTGTTCTAGAGTTATGCCCGTTTATGAATGGAAAAATTACAAAATTTTTAGTTTCTGTTCTCTAACTCAAGTTTGCCTCAACCAAATGTTATGAAACTTATACACAATGCTTTTTACCACAAAACACAGATCAAGTTGAATTCAAGTTATAATGTTGTATGCAAGCGGGGGTATCATCTGTGTCCATGGGTACACATTCTTCATTTATTTTGTTCTACAATAGCAATAATATATGGACTCAACAATTTCAGAAGTTACATTACATGAATCTTAAATGCTTGACATTCTAAATAATTGAGGTGTAACAATATGCTGCATTATTTTTGATGCATGTTGTGATATTTTATACATTTTGAGATGTATATATAATTACAATGTATCAAGAAATATTTTCTCAATATCCCCCATTTTGATGTTAATATGACAAATAAGGCTATGTGGTATGGATTCTAATGGGACAACAATCCACCAGAGTCCAAATAACATGGATAAAAGCAACTGTTATAGTTTGACATACAGTGAGCAAATGAGCAAATCTAAACCCTATAGTTCCCTATCAAAGACCCCAACATGACTAAATGTACAACAATTCAAACAAAAAAACCAACAGCCTGATTTATGACAAGACGATAAACAAACAAAAATATTACAGACATCAACCAAAGAAAACCACTGAGTTACAGACAAAATAGTTTTGTGACATTGAAAGATTTGATACATAATTTCATACATGTATATATATGTGAGAACAAATATTCTTTATAACCAGTGTTTGGATGTTAACATCATTTGTGTAGGGGCCTCGGTGGCTGAGTTGTCTTAAATATTTATTTACAGTGAACACTAGCCTGTCAACACTGAGGTTGTGAGTTTAAACCCTGCTTGTGACAAGTTCTACTTTCGACTCTGACCTTGAAAAGGATTGCTAGTGTTTCCTGCAGTAGGTAGATGCTGCTCTCCAAGGAATCTAGCTTCCTCAACCAATAAAAAAAAACTGGCAGCCATGAAATAACCAAGAGTGCTGAAAGTGGTGTTAAACAGCAACAATCAATCAATCATAGAATACAGCCATTCAATTTGGCAAATAAATCTTTGGAAGACTTACTATACGCTTCAAGATGAAGGTGAAGTGACTCATATTTCATTGCTTAAGGAAACTCAAATCTAAAGCTATTTAAAAATAACAACTGTGTATTACAGCTCAATAAATTTGGGCAGGGTGTTCCGACAAAAAGTGCAGGGCTCTTAAATAATCTGGATAATAGGTATTGGACGATAGATAAAAAGGGGGTGCTGTAACTCTAAAAACAATCAAGCTTGAACACTTTTTATTCTTTGTTTCTTTGTATCTTAGATTAGTTATTTCTCTTGTTTATTTTCTCCTTTATTGTTTTAGGTTGCAGGAAAGAAAGGGGAGAGTCATTGAAGAATCGTTAGAAGGAGACATAACAAACAGTTCAAAAGTTCTTGTTTATTTTAATACTTGAATTTATAACAGTTCCAAATTCAATAAAAAGAGCTATAAATTATTTGATAAATACAAGATTATATTTTGTCTGTTCTTTTGTATATTGGAATTACGAGATGTGCAATTACTGGTAAATCAGAAACTTTTGACGTAAATTTATAACTGTTATGGTATTAGGGCAATCTGTTTAAAATACAGGTCCTATGTCCAAGTTTGCTTACAAGAATCTGAAAATGCTCTGTTCTACTTTCTGTTTTAAAAGACTTTTAAGATCCTCTAGTTTGTCAGATTAATACACACCTTCAAAAATTTGAAGGCTGAATTTTCATTGGCTGATGCAGTAATCACCTGATCAGCAAGTAAAACAGAGTGTTGACAGATCCTTGTAAGCAAAGCTTAGACACAGGAACTGTATCTTTATCAGATTGGGTATAAGGGAGCTACCATTTGATTTTTATGGGGGGGGGGGGGCTAGGATGAAAAATTTTGTCCTGCTTTTTTGTCGAGCCTTCGACTTTAGTCGAAAAAGCGAGACATAGCGATCCTACATTCTGTTGGCGTCGTCGGCAGCGTCCACAAATATTCACTTTGTGGTTAAAGTTTTTGAAATTTTAATAACTTTCTTAAACTATCTTGGATTTCTACCAAACTTAGACAGAAGCTTGTTTATGATCATAAGATAGTATCCACAAGTAAATTTTGTAAAAATAAAATTCCATTTTTTCCGTATTTTACTTATAAATGGACTTAGTTTTTCTGCCGGGAAATATTACATTCACTCTGTGGTTAAAGTTTTTAAAATTTTAATAACTTTCTTAAACTATCCTGGGTTTCTACCAAACTTGGACAGAAGCTTGTTTATGATCATAAGATAGTATCTAGAAGGAAATTTTGTAAAATAATAAATCCATTTTTTCCGTATTTTACTTTTAAATGGACTTAGATTTTCTGTCAGGAAACAACACATTCACTCTGTGGTTAAAGTTTTTAAAATTTTAATAACTTTCTTATACTATTTTGGATTTGTACCAAACTTTAACAGAAGCTTGTTTATGATCAAATGCTAGTATCTAGAAGGAAATTTTGTTTTCTTCCAGTTAACATTACATTCAGTCTGCAGTTAAAGTTTTTAAACATTTATTAGATTCATAAACTATCCTGGATTTTTACCAAACTTGGACAGAAGCTTCTTACAATCAAAAGATAGTATCAAGAGGAATATTTTTATTGATTTACTTCCTCATTTTTGTTGAGCCTGCGATTAACAGAAAAAGTTGGCGAGACACTGGGTTCCGCGGAACCCTTACAAATTTTTTTTAGTTGTAGTCTCTGTCCTGCCTTTTTATTTTTTACTCTATTCGGTCCTGCCTTTTTTTTACTAGTTTATCCTGAATTTTTTTACACAAATTGTCATTCTGCCTTTTTTTTTACCAAGTTGCTCATCCTGCCTTTTTTTTTACTCCAAACTCCTGTCCATCTTATTTTTTTTCAAATTTCATCCTAGCCCCCCCCCCCCCCCATAAAAATCAAATGGTAGCTCCCTAAGGGCTGTTCTTTTTTAACATACATGGTACCCAGGGAAGGCACTTTCAAAATGTGTATCTCCCTCTAGAGGCAAAATTTTAATTTTGCAAATAGTGTTACTGTTTTGGACACCCAGCCATAGATGAGATTTCAAAGTGACTTCCCTTGGTCCCATGTATGATTTAATGGAACAGTCTTTAAGGAAAACAAAACTGAATTCTTTATTAAAAGTTAGACTTTACATTCTGAGTACAGCATTGCTTGAAATCAGTTAAATTATTTGATATTTTTATTTCTCTCATACAAGTTGGTTTGGTCTACTGATGTTTGTTCGTCATTCATGTCATATCCCTGTTTTTGGGAGGTGGCAGCCAGTTGGAAAGCTACACCAATTTAGTTTCTGGTTCTTTTTATTTTGATCCACCTGTTTTAGAAAATTTATTTTTTCAAAATAAAAAAGTAATCACTGTTTCTGTAATTTTTTGGTCTCCTTGCTGGATAAAAATTTGTTAGACTTGAAATTTTTTCTCACAAAGGCCCTCTCAAGTTGCAAACAATGGTCCAATCTATTTAAACATTTGTGTGATAAATGGATATGTAAACAACCAACAAAAAATGGCAACGTTTTTGTTGTGTCAGCTGATTGCCTTGCGTAGGCAGCAATGGAACAGTAAGCAAACCTTTGTTTTTTCAGTTTTTGTCTCGCCTTGACAGAGTCAAAAAGCAAGACATAGGTATGGTGTTTCCGCCGGTGGCGTTAACAATGTATTAGTTTGTGATTAGGTCTAGTTTGTGGTGAACCACTAGTAATAGATCAATGATATTTGTTATGCAGTTGTATTAGCATTGGCACATCTCATTTCCATGGAGATAATATGGCCCTCCCCCTCAGTCATGGTCTATTGACTTTGAAACTTTTGCTTAGTTTACATGTATTAGTTTGTGATTAGATCAGTGTAAGATGAACCACTTTTGATATTTTTTGCAAGTCTCGTTTCCATGGAGATTATATAGCCCCAACCCCTTATCATGGTTCATTGACTGAAACTTTTACAGTTTACAAGTTAATGTTTGTGTTTAGTTTTATTTAAAGGGAACAACTTATGATAAGTCAATGGTATTTGTCTCAATGTTCCATGGAGATTGTTTAGCCATGTTACCTTCAGTCATGGTTCATTGACTTTGAATATTTGCATAACTAACATATTAAAGTATTGCTATTTTAATTTCAACATTTACATTATCGAAATTACAAAAAGGCGAGACATACATGTATCTCTGTGATAACAGTTTATTCTAAGAAGACCAGTTCTACAAAGCAAAAAAATTAATTCTTAGGATGTTTGATCCAAGGATCTCCAACTTATTCATATTTGCAGACGAACATATCCTTGTGATGATGATGATGATGATGGATGGCTGCTTAACGTCTAGCGGCAAATTAATATGCATATTCAGGACGAGAACATGTTAATGTAATATGAATACCAACCCTGCTTTGTACTAGACTGACATGCTGAACCAGATTTTTAAAGTACTAGTTCACAAGGTAACAGTTGGCAGGAAGACATATCACCTTACACAGACATTATTTTGACTCAGAGCCAACCAGTCTTTGCTCTTGCTCCTTAATGCTGCGTGCTTAGCGGAGAAGCAGCAAATACCAATTTTCACGTCTGGTTTGACCCAACTGGGGTTCGAACCCTGACCTCCCGCACTGGAAGCGAACATGCTACCACGAGACCTATGCAGATCGTTGTGTCAACCATCATGAAACTATATGTCTTGGATGACCTATTGTATGACGCCAGAGGAGTGAATTAAGGTGGATGGGGTGTCTTCCTCCATCTTGGATTTTGAAGTAGCATATAACAATTGGTGTAGATCTTTAATGAAATGTGCAAATTTGAGAGAAGTATGTAATTCATGTATAAGACTTTTCATGTTAATATAGAAAATTATGTGTTTTATCATATTAACGGCTGTATTTTCTAAAAAAAAAAAAAACAATATTTTTGTTTGATTCATTTTTTTTCAACTTAGACACATAAGGGGAGATAACTCAGATAAAGTAATAAATAATTTTTATAATAGAAAGTGTTGTTTACTTTTTTTTTTATTTTAATATGTAGCAAGTAAACAAGTTCGGTGACCCCATTTTTTTCTTTTTCTTATCTGAAAGCATGTTATAAGAGCTACATTCTCACATTGTATCTTAAAATTCTATGGGCAGTTTAGTTTTCAGTCTTTTTATCACACAAAATTGGATTTTCCATGCATAATCTATACAAAATCTCACAATTTTTCACAATCTGTAACGTGAAAAAAAGTCCGATGACCCATACTTTTTATTATATTTTGGAAAAAGGCATGATAAAAACTACATTCTGACAAATTTAAACAAAATACTATTAATTTTAATTAAGACATCCAACTTAACCGAGTTTATTTCACATATGAAGTTATCGGTTTTTATTTCACTGGGAAATCACGGCAATTCATTTCAAGCAATATGATAAGCAAATACATGGGTTGTCTCTCTTTAATAGAGCAATTACCTGTAAAATTTTCATTTTCATTAGTGTAGGATCATCTATAAGGGACATTCAAACTCATAATTCTAAAACAAACGAAAAAAGAACAACAAATAAAAACCAGTATACAGAACACAATATAGAAAACTAATGACCTAGCAACACGAACCCCATCAAAAACAGGGGTGTATCAGGTGCTCTGGAAGGGTAAGCAGATTCTGCTCTAAATGTGGCACCTATCATGTTACTAATCTAAGTACAAACCCGGTGATGAGTCAAATACGGTAGGTCACATTCGAGGAAAAGAGGACGGGATTGTGGTTGCAACAATTTGGAACATATCTGTCGTCATTTGTGAAACCTATTCCATAACGGTCAACTAAATCGTGATGGTGTCCGCAACATTTTCAAAGGAGTGATTTCCACTTCACCACTTGGAACTCTTTGTTTTAATAGCTTCCTGGTGAGCAGCAACCCTCGATCAAGGAAATGCAAGCTCTTGGATATTGTTTCAACTTGGAGATATATAATTCATATGCAGGCGCTACTGGAATGTTGCTACATAGAAATGGAAAGTTAACAATTGAGAAGCTGAAATCATCTCTTTTGCCGTAAAGTTTTGTTCTCAATCGACCCACAATGCCAATTTCTAAATGTAAGTCAAAATATGAGGCAGACTAAACTGTATCTGTTGTATCCTTTATTTCAAGTTCGATGGGATAAATTCATTCAACATAGTCACAAAAAAATGAATTATTTAGTGAGAGGACATCATCTTTATGGCAGAAAGTGAAGTTTAAAGATAATGCTAGGTTCTGACAAGTCTGCAAGAAGAGGAGCACTGTTGGTTCCCATGGGAATACCGACTATTTGTTGAAAATTAAACACGTCCTCCAAACGTAAAAATATGTTGTTAATCAAGAAATCATGCATGTTAATAATGTGAGTTTCAGAGTGAATTTTTACAAAGTACGATTTATCCCTCCCGAAGACAAGATACTTGTATCTACGTTGGCGATTCTTTTTTTT